GGGGGGGGGGAGAACGCACTTAGTCCCGAAATTGACCAAATGATAAAGCCTCAGCCTGAAATACCAGTCATTTGGACAGCAATTATTTGAAAAATCCAGGGACTGTTTGACCACCTGTTGCACATCATCCACACTCTCACAACCAAGGTACTGGGTATCTCCAGTTGCTCTTTCCATTTATGGAAATCTGCTCAAAGCTAAATGGTTCCAGAGAGGCAGCCAAACCTCTAAGTAAATCTATCTTTAGGTGACCCTGCTTACTCTTATCTGCAGCTTCACTGAAGCAAAGGATTCAATCGGCCCTACTAGCTCAACTTTAAAAAACTTCCTATTACTAGGTAAAAAATATATTAGCATTCTAAAGTACTTTTTTCCAAAGTGCCTTAAGATAGTCACATACACTGAAGAACCTTAGGAAGGAAACTCTCGGGTCTTTCAAATTTACTCTGGTAACCATTCTCTTTAAAGTCTGCTTGTGTTGCAATTTAGCTGTTGTCTTCGGTGCTATTAATAAACCATCTGGGTAAACTAATTTCTTATGTAATTGTATTAAGACACACCATAAAAACTCCACCGTATGAAAATCACAACTGCCAAGGAATTCAATAATAATCCAGTGATAAACTCTTATCAGATTCTAAAACGCTTTAGGTTACAAACAAAATGAAATCTGCCTAGTAGTTAACATATTTTGTCCCCTCACTTCTTACCTAGTTTGAGGTACATTTCCGAAAACGAGAAAGGGGTTATTTTCTTGCTTATATTTCAGACCTCAATTTCCCCTTCTGCCTCAAAATCAACATTTTCTCACAAATATTTTAACTTAAAAAATAAACATATGCGAAATTAGTAAAAAAAAAAAAACAAACTGTATTCACTCATACTTTAAATTTAGGACGAAAACGTAAAATGGGCATAAATCCTCTATGCATTATCAACCAGACGATCTAATACTCCAGGTACGATCAACGAATGGCTGTTGAGCATTACCATGGGCCAGGCCCCGGTGACACTCAGAAACCTGAGACGCAGTGTGAATCGGCCGAGGCCTCACCAAGCTGATACCAATATAGTTCAGGCAACGCTGAAAACACAGGTAAAGTATTTCAACACTACATAAAAGTGTAGAATAATTTCAGGTTACTCCATAAGTCAGCAGCTTCTAAAAGAGAGCTCTGATTTTTTTTTTTTTGATGCTTACTAATTTGGTCATTTTTATTTACTAACTCAACGCTAGAATCAACAAATAAAAACCTAAGAGTCCGTTCCCAGCTCCTGACAGCTTCCTGGACTCACCACTCATTTCGCAAAAAGTCAGCACTATCTTTTTCCTCTTGTTGACCCTAGTCATGAAATCATCGTTATTGACAACAGCTATTCATGAAATATTTGTCTTACTCAAATTTCAGCAATTTTCTAAGACTATTTTGTTCACATAAACAATTCAAATAAAATTTAAATAAATTTTCCACAATTCTGTAAAGGGTAAGTAAGAATTGAACAGCGTTGTGCAATTGGGGTTAAGGCAAACTTCAAACAAAGGAAGAAAAACGAAAAGTCCTTAGTTTACTTCAACTTTATTGGTACCTTTCTAGATTTGTGTCAACATTTATGGGAGGAAAAATGAACAACTAACTTTTAAAATGGAAACAATGACACTAAAAGTAATCTGACAGGTATCTTTTTTCTAGTTACCACTATTTGTTGGTGTTGCTGTTCAATTCTACTTGAAATAAATGCATCAAATAAATTTCAAAAGCTATTTTAATTTCAATCGTGGTGCCAAAGATAAAATTTGCTTATGTCCTTAATTACTATTAGTAAAAATCTTCTTCCATTTCTATCTTTCTAATCAACCAGTGTTTGCCTGGTAGACTATTCCAGACTCACTTAACAGCTGTTACAAAATACCAAACTTGGTAATTAAGTCTGACAAGAGGCATACCTCGCAGCTTTGCATAAGAGAATGCTGGCAGTGGATCTAGCTCATAACAATGTTCTCAAGTCAAACATGAAATTTAGTAGCAATTTAGTTTGAGAGCAATGGGAAAAAATTAGAAAACTTTTATTATATGACAATGGTTATTACCATATGAGCAGTGCCATGACCCAACAAAAGCACAAGGCAATCACCTCTGAGTTAGTTACTGCACCTCATTTACTAGGGCTCCCCTCTGCCGCCCCTGGGGGCTCTCACAGAACAGGGAATGAAGGATACCAGGGAACATCAGGGAAAGGGAAAAGGTCTAGAACACCTGATCCCTCTTGACATCCTAATCAATATAGTTGCGATGCAAGGTATAAAATGGGAAAGAACTGCTTTGTAAACTGGAGCTGTCAGAAAAGAATGTAAGCCACATAACACTTCATCCTCCTGCAGCTACATAAAAACACACAAAGGTGAAATTAACAATACCTTTCTTTACCCCAGACTAGCTAAGATATGATCATTTCAACATGTAATCAATACAAAGAAGTTTCCCACTGCTTTGGTTTTAAAAGTTAGTTAAAATTAAAAAGCTTCTCAGTCACACTTCAACTCCTCCACAGCCACTGTGGCTGGGGGCTGCTATAGGGAAGTGTGTACATAGGAATGCTGTGATTAGGCTACTCAGACTTACAAGGTAGAGGACCCTTTCGTATTCAAATATTAAGGACTTCAAAGAGATTTTGCTTATATAGGTCCAACCCATATCTATTATACCTGCAATTAAACCCCAAAAAACTTTCAAATATATATTCATTTAAAATCAACTCACTACTTACAAGTACTTTTTTTAAAATAACTTTTTAAAACAAAAGATTTGGAAAGTAGGTTTGTTTTTTAATTCTTTTTGTTTAATTTTTGCTATAGGGCAGAGAGAGAAAGAGAAAATGAAAATGCACCCCCTTGGAGGGATAGCCACACCGCAATCCCTTCTCCTTAGGATTTTAGACACACATGCACACATACCTGGCATGATTTTCAAGCCACTGGGTCTGGGACTTGAACATAGTTGATTCTGTGGGATCCACTGCCTTAACCACCATGCCACTAGCTGGCCCTGTTTCATACATTTTTGTAAGTGCTTTTAATACTTAATAGAAGGCAGGTGAATTCTCCTATTTCCTTCATTCACTATACTGGAATATCAATCACATCAGCTCTGGAGAGCTCCTCTCTACACTTAGGAAGTGAAAAGGCAAATAATGTCTTAGTATAAATAGGGAAAACAG